TAATCAGAATTCTTATCAGTAATTTAATATTAAATGTTAAATTAATCTTGTAACTTCTTATTTTTTTATATAAAAATTAATTCAATCTTAATTCTAGAAAGAAATTTTCATTAATTCTTTTTTTCATTAAAAATCAATTAAACTATTCAATTTAAAATTATTTTATTAGTTTATGTTATTTTTTTATCTCTTACATAATTATATGGAGTTAAAGAATAATGTAAAATAACTCATTATATAATTATTTTTATTACATCAATAGCGATAATCTTTAAGTAATTTAATTAAATTTATTTTCTAAATAATTTTAAAAAATTAGTTTAAAGCTAAAAATTTGATTAGATTAATTTTAAATTTAATAGAAAAGCCTAATTAAATAGTTTAATGATTCAACTATTAAAGAATTTTCGAATACTTACAATATTTAACTAATTATATCTATATATTCCTAATTCTGTATAAATTGACTCATAATACCATTAAAATTATCTAACTTAAATTTATAAATCATTGGTAAAATAAATCTTGCATTATTTTTCCTACTTATTGCAATTAATCTTTTAAATTATAATTCAATCAGTACTTACTCATCTTATTATTTCCATATCCTATATTAAAAATGGTTTTAATTGAATATTTTTAAAACAATCTACTTAATAACTTTCAAATGACAACATTATAATGAGAATAAATATTATTATATAGGACAAAAAATAGAAATCTTGAAATTTAAATTTTCTATTAAATACTGTGTAATCTATCTGAAATGAACCGAAAATAAATAAATTATTAATTGAGTTATTGGCTCATATATGTTTTTTCTAGAAAAAAATAGAAATTAAAAGATTAATGATAATCAAATTGAAAACTATCACATCCATAATGAATTAAATCATAAGATTTCTTAAGTATATCAGCTTAATTAATATTTAGTATATCATCTTTATAATAAGTAGTAATCATGTTTAAAATCAGTTCAAAAATTAAAAACGTTAATTTTGAGAATATTTTTTAAAATCATAAAAATGAAGAATTATTCTACCACCTTTGATAAAAAGGGATTAAAAAGGTAAAATATCTCTAGGAATAACGTTTATAAGATTCAATATTACATAATAGTTGTTCTAATTATATATAAAGGAATTCTGTTTATAATTTAATTAAAGAATCCTAGTATATTTTGTTAACCATTCATGTCATTACTAACCTATTTTAAATTGTAAATAAAATTCATTAAGTTGCTATTTCTTTACAATTTAGATGTTATTTATAATTTTTGGATATAAAAAGGTTGTTTTGTTAAGTTTATTAGTTTTAAATAAAAGTTTAGAATAATAAACATTAAAATATTTTAATTTAATTTTAATTACTTACTTGTTTGGATATTTTTATAATTGACCTTGTTTCTTTATTATTAGATTGATCTTAATAATATTTTGATTGATTGTTTTTTATATAGAAAATTAAATATAAACATCGAATTAAATCTTCAATTCAATCGATATTGATATATCAAATTTATGTTTAAATAAAAAATCTTCATAGGGAAAATTGTATAAATTTTGTAATATTAATTAATAATAATATAATTATATATAACATGTCATCACATCATTAACACAGTTTACCTTAAATTAGATCATTTATGGTTGAAAGAAATGCTTACTTAATAGATTTAACACAAAGAACTATAATTAAAAAAGGCAATTAATCTGTCAAATTGAAATTACCAAGTTTGAGTTAGAGATAATCAATAATTGCAATCAGGGATCCCCCAAAAATTAAATATAAGAGAGAATCATTAACTGAAAATATTAGAAAAATTCTTGTAAAACAATTTAAATATATTAGGATTATTAATCTCCTTAATACACTTTGAAAAGAATGTTAGAAAAAAAAGTAAAAACAGTAACATTTCATTGATAATAAATTTATATTTTTCAATATCATAGTTATGCAAAAAATAAAAAGAAACCTTTTCTATAATTTTCATTTTAGTTCTTTAATTATTTTTTTATATTTATAAAAATAATCAAGTTACAAATCATATATACGAAGACTATAAATTTTAAAACAATAAAGAAATCTTATGTAAGATTAATTTTTCTAATTAAATTATTTCATTGAAAACTTTAGGAATGAATAAAAATCTTCTAATTAATAAAAATCATAAAAAATAATCCATATCAAATTAATTATTGTTGCTACATAATATTTTTTTTAGTTTATGGTATATTAATTGCTATAATTATTTCTAAATTTGTGTTATTGTTTACTAATTAAGACTATCCTAAGTAAAACCCAAACAAAAATTCTATTTTTTTAATCTTTACAATTTTTAAATTTCATAATCAAAATTTGTAAACAGTTTTTTTAATTCTCTTATTAATAAATTTTATCTTATAAGAATGATTTATATTATTTAGACATATTTAAACTATTTAATTTTTTGTGACTTTCATTTTATTAAATAGGAGTTTACAATATAAGATCATTTCAAATCTTCTTTTAAAATAAGAGTTATAAATTTCTCAATTTACCTAATAAAATAATAAGGTTTTCAAAAATAAATAATGATGTTATTTAAATAAAAAAGAAATAAATGACAAAAAAATAACATTAGATTGAAATTTTAGAATCATAAGATTAACAATAGAACATTACAGTATAACTTAATTATAAAATTTAGAATGAAATGATTACCAAAAATCATAATGTATAATTAAGTGATTTATTTTAACAGCTACATATATTAATATAATTATGTTTTCAAATTAAAACAAAAACACAATTGTACATTTGATTAAAGATGTTGTGAAAGGGGAAAAAGAATTGGAAAACTTAAAATAAGGTTTAATTCTTCAAATAACTGACAATAATGTAAGTTATTAAACATGCTTTTTACATGTAATATTAATTGAATAAATATTAGTTAACTTATGAGAAGGATAGAATAAGTCGAAATGATTTAGAGGTGTTTTTATCTAATTAATAAATACGTTTTGATAATAAAGAAATATAAGTTTTAAAATATACTACTTATTAGGAGTAAAAATAATATAATAATAATGTAATAGTTTTTTAGAGTTAATGCTTCCATGTAATTAGATATTTTTGAAATAGTATCAATAAAAATAAATGAATTATAATAATCCAAATTCAGATATAATAAATTTAATAGGAAAAGTATTCGGTAAGAATATAGAAATAATTCGAAAAATGTAAGCTTATTTAGATGCATTAATATTGAGATTTGATAAGAGTACCTTATTAAACTTTTTATGTCCAAAAGCAGATAAAAATACACCAGTTTTCTTATAATTATTAAAAAATTTAGATTTAGATATAAGTTTTGAAGATGTTGTATGTGCAATGAGAAGATTAGATAAAGATTAAGATTCGGATGTAAAAAGATTTGATTGGGAAGAGATTCTTAAATATTCAAAACCACCAAAAAGTAATTAGAGTTCAATAGGAAATCTATAAAAATATATTAATAAATAGCAAAGTTCAAAATCAATTAATAGAAGTGAATCAAGATAAAAGACAGATTAAGAAAATATTAATTCAAATAGAAATGTTCATTTTTCTATAATGAAGTCTTCTACAAAATCTTTAAAAAAGTAGTCTAGTATTATGGAAGAGTAAATACTTGAATTTTAATTACATTTAATAACAATAGGAAAATTAAATGAAGAATTAGATTAAATAAAACTAGAAGTATTTAAAATTAAATATATCTTTCAAGTTATCAAGTCGTGCAGATTATTCAATTTCTTAAGCATTTTAATTCTTTGATCTTGATGTAAATGATTCAATAGGATTATAAGATTTAAAACTTGGATTTTTATAATTAGGAATAGATGTTAATGATTTCATAATTAGATAATTATTACATAATTATTCTTCTCATCATTCTTAAACTTAATGGGAGTATAAAATAATATTAATAATTTTAGTCTAAATGATTTTAAATAATTATTTCCAGATAGTAAATAGACTTTAAATAGTTATAATGGGGCATTTAGTTATGAAACGAAGAAAATAATAAAAATGATAATTTAAAAATATTTAGAATTAATTAGATATAAGAAAGAATCAAGTTAGTAATTGAGTTCTGATATAAAGAATATTGAAATAATATTTAATTTTATTGATTTAGATTAGGATGGAATAATAACTTAAGATGATTTTAAAGTGTTAGAACTAAAAAATAAATAGATTTTATTATTTTTTTAATAATTTGAAGATTATCCTTACTAAATAACTTATAATTAATTTTAGAAGTATTTTATTTGAATATAATAAATTTAATCATAAATTAATAATCATATTACAAGACTATCATCATTTTTTTTAATAATTTGGAGTGCCTTGATGAGATTTAATCAATTTATTTTAAGTTTTATGAGGAACATTTAAACTTCTCATAGATGATTTTAAATCTTCTAGATTTTTTAAGCTTCCTTAAATATTAGATCTCCCATTAACAAAAAAGTTATTATTTTATTATTAATTTGATTTCTTTTTTGATTAAAGATTATTATTTAAAGGAATTTTAGTTGAAAATACTTTCTTAGCTAATTCAAAGAGTAATTCATTTTATTATTGATTATTTCTAGAAGTTGTTTAACAAGATTTAGTAAGTTCAATATTTCCTAATGAACCTTATCTTTATTTTAATTAAGGTGGTCTTTTAATAGTTTATACTTCAATTTTAATTTTGGATTATGATGATTATCTGGATAATAAATTAGATTTAGGATATCTATCAGTTAATGGTGGTTGCTTAGTTAATTTAATTATATCTTAATTTTTATTTTATAATTTAGGTTCTACTTTTTTTAATTATAATTTTTAAGCTTCAATCAATGGATTAAGGGATTTGAAGATAAGTTTATTGTAATTGAAGATTTAGAAAGGCTTAGATTTTTAATTTTAATTTCCAATCATTTTAACTAAATCTTTTAAGATAGTAGTATTACTTACTCTAGAGATATCTGTTTATGTTGATTGAATATTAAGATCTTTTAGAAGATTCTTCATCTAACTTACAGATTAATCTTCAGAAGTGTCTTTCTTTTTTGGAGATGGATCATTCTTAATTTCTTCAAGAAGACCTAGTTCTTATTTTATTTTATTATAACGTAGGTCTCTATTCTTTTCCATACGTTTATTTATTAATTTCGAGTAAAAGTTACGAGGAATATTTATATGGTATTTATAATACTCAAATAAAGATGGCAATCGATCGTCACTTTCAAAAAAACGATAAAATCTGTATTCAAATAATTGAGATACCTTTTCATATATTCATTTTCTTTAATCAAATCCAAATTATCTTTGTATTCAATTGTATATTTTGTTTAATTGTCATCGAGGATATCATTTATGTCTTTTTAGTAAATTAAATTCTGTGATTGAGAATATCTACAAAACAGAGCTCTTTTAAGAATTAATTGAAAAGATCCATCACTTTTAAGTTTCTCACAAAAAATACACTTCTTTTTATTAACTTACATTTTTATTAATATTTATATAGATATATGAAATTAATTGATATTCTTAATTCATTATTATATTATTAAAGATTCATATTCAAATCTAATAACAATTGCCTTTATTCAATATTCTTTCAATTCTAATCCATTATTAATTTTTTCATTCTCTTTAAAAACAAATTTATTAATTAATCATATATTATCTTCATCTAACATAATTTCTAAAAATACATACTAAATATATATTAGTAAACTTCTCTAACAATAATTTTCACTTTATCAAATTCTATTAAATCATAATCCAATTTGTTTAGATATTTTCAATTTATTAATGATCTTTTACATCTTAATTATAATTATAAACTTTTTATCCATATCCAAATATCTTCAAAGTATTTTATGTTTTTATAATAAAGATTTAATAACATTTTGACTTATCAATTAAGTAATTCAAAAATACATAGTTTTTAAAACTAAATATGTATTTTATAACAAATAATTTAAGCAATTCTAATTCTATCCATTTAATATAAAAGTTAATTTTGATATCATTCTAAAATTGAAGTAGAATGATGAAATTTTATTTATATCGTTTTGATAATTTCTAATTATCTATTTATCTATTTATGACTATAATAATAATGTTTCTTCAATAAACAATACAATAGTATATCTTATTCATTTGTTACTCTACTGATTAGTTATAAATTAATTATTGTTGATCAATAATCCTCATTTATAATAAATTTTTTGAGATTTATTTAATTTCTTAAAGTTCTTTATTCTCATAAATAAAATTGTATGTTTATTTGTTGTATTTTATTTTGCTTAATCTCTATAACTTAATATTCGATATCAATATCTTCAAAAACCTTTAATTATATTCTTTATAGATTACTACAAATGAAAAATAAATCTTAAGTTCTGACTAATTTATATTAATATCGATATTCGAATAATATTAACTTGATAATATATATGTTTTTATATAGGAAATATACTATATTATTACATGCATATAATTTAATATCAAATATTTAAATTAATTTGATTTTCTTAATGCAAGAGTTTATTGAAATTGAACCTAAGTAATATTTAGAATTCGATGCTGAAGAAAATAAATTTGCACATGCATAATTATCACTTAAAAATTTAACTTAACAAGATGTAACATTCAAAGTATAAAAATTCAAATATAATATAGATTAAAACAACAACACCAACATTATTTTAAGTAAAACCAAGTTTAGGACTTATTAACCCTAATTAGACTTAAATTATTGAAATATCTACAAGTCAACCTATAAAAAGTGACGCAAAATTTGATCCTAAATTTTAAGTTAATGCTAGCTTAATTGATTTCCAAGATTAAGGTAATATTAATATATAAAATAATTTAGATTTGAATCAATTTTGGAAAAACAGAGATTAATCAACAATTTAATCATAATAAATTAAAAGCAGAATAAAACACAATGTTTAACAAGATGTCCAGTCTCATTAATAAGTTCCTGATTCTAAAATTTTAGAATCAACTATAAATAATTCATAATAATAAGATTCAAAAATGTTCAAATCTGTTATTGAGTCAAAAACAGAAAAGGATGATTAAATCAAATTATATAAAGATTAATATGAAAAACTTGTAATTATTTATATAATCTAATAATTTAGTAATAAGAATATTAAGATTTTAGAAAGAAAATAGAATTAGAAACTTAATAGGCATAATCTAGAAAAGGTATTTTGTTAATTTTACTAATTTATAGAAAAGAACAACATGAGTTTTTTTTAATTATTGTTAGCAGTTGTAATAGCCTTGATTGCAGGTTATTTAATAGGGAATTGATTGAATTATTTACATTAATCAAACTTATCTATAAAATTAATTAATTCTTTGTTATTTACTAAAATTATTTTAATATTTAAGAAATGGGAACAGTAATAATTGGTAAGTGTCAGTGTTAATGCTATATAAACTATGTATCATGTGATTGTACATTTTAAGAAAATGAAGTGAAAACAAAAAGCAGAACTAATAGGTTTACAGAAAACGTTGAAAAGCGAAATAAAATAAAAAATAAATCACCTGGTGATTCTACAGAAAAACTTTCAAGATTTTCTTCTACTCGTAAACCATCAAGTAGATCAAGTTCATTAAAATCAAAATACTTATTATCTAATGAATGTAATATATAGACAGATGAATCTTCATAAACAAGAATCAAAAGAAAACCTAAAATAATTCAATAATTTGTAAAATCTACTAAATTTTACAATTTTGCAGAATATACTTTGAAAAGTTAATCTGTTATACATTAATAACATATATCTGAACATAAAGAACATAAAAAAAGTGCCTAAAGTTCATAAATTTCATAAATTGTTTAAAGTAATCGACCATTAAAAACTGATAATAATAAGGAAGAATAATACGATTATAGACCTTTTAAAAAAGCAAACAAGTATTAGTAACTATTTTTTAAATGAATCAATAATAATAAATCATAATGTATTAGTAGTTTATAATCATATAAAAGCTTTCATAGGTTAACATTACTATAAAATTGATGGTCTTCTTTCAAATTCTTCTAAAAAACTATATTATTTAAGAACTCTATTTTAAGTTTTATTGTCTCCAATCTATGGTAATTTTTAAAATTCATTAAGTTATTATAATGAATATAGTATTTCATTTTAGTTATTATTTTGCAATAATGGATTTTAAGGAGTTTATTATTAAATAGAAAATGATTTATGTCTTGTTGTTTATTTTTCAATTTATAATTTAGAATCCATAATAGGTTTTAGATAGAGAATCTCATTATTGATAGCTCTTTATGAATTTCTTTCTAATCTCAATTTTTATGCCTTCTCCATATTTTTAACTACTTTACTTTATAATGATCCTGGCATAGTTCCATCTATATCATTTGTTGTTAAAAGTCTTTTACCTTATAAATTTCATCATATTATAAATAAATACTTTGGTTAATCATATATATTTTCTAAAGCTCTCAACTACTTTATTTCTCCTTCTTATATATTATAATGTTTCTTTTAAGATCCATCAAAATAATATTCACCTTATGGAACAAAACTATCACAAAAATGATGAAAGTCATGTTAATATCTTCGTCTTCCATATTATTAATCTTGTTAAACAATACTTTATCTAAAAATATTAATAAATCAATTATAGACTGTTACTATAATTTTAATTATCTACTTTATTTAATATCTAAACTATCAATTTTATTTAATTATATTGATTTCTTTCTAGGTTAAGCTCCTTCTATGTCTATTGTTTATAATGATCTGTCAAATTAATAAACATTATTCATTTTATATATTATTTATATAAATATTAAACATGAATTAAATCTAATCAGTCATTTCATATTAAAATGATAGTAATACAAATATGGCTGCTTTTAGACCTGCCAGTTCTATAGAAATTGGAGATATAAAATCAAAAGATTAAAATTTATTAAGAAAAAGTTTAATGGCTTCTGTCAATATAAGATAAATGTAAATGTAATAAATTCATCCATTAAATACTAAAACTAATGAAATCATTGAAGAAGTCTAAGTTGAATTTGAAGGAATTTAGAATATTGATTACAGATTACCTGAATTGGCAATAAGTAGAGATTTAGAAATTGAAACACTTGAAGCTGAAATCAATTAATAATCTAAAATCTTATAATCTGGATTATTTTAATATTAAACAACCAATTATTTTACAGGTTGGCTCTAAAAAAAAAGTAAATCTTTATTAAAATCATATAAAAATAAATATTGTGTATTTCATGATGGAATTTTATGTATTTATGATAATGAACAAAAAAATAGAGCTAAAATTGTTTTAAATTTTCATTTATTCAATTTTAAATACTTTTCAAAATAAGAAAATAATATAACAATAGAATTTGGTTTAAAATGTGAAGATAATGATGTAGTATTTTAATTTAAAGGTGATAAATGTCATGATTGGTTTAAAATTATTAAAAAATGTATAGATGATTATCGATAGACTCCAAAATATTAATATTATATTCGTCCATTTGAAGAATATTATAAAAAGAGATTAATTCATAATTAGTAATTTTTAGATATGGCTTAAACTGGAGATATATTATTATTTCAAGGAAAACATATATCATGCAAAGCATAAAGACTAGTTACTAGATCTTAATATGGTTATTTATTTATATTTAAAATATAGATCATGTTGCTATGATTTTAAAATATACAAATGGATCTATATATGTTTTAGAAGCTACAGGTACATTTGGTGTAGGAATTTTTGAATGGAAACATATGATTGGAAAATAATGGTATGAATTATATAACAAGTATTATGTATTTTTATATATATTTAGAGTTGTTTATCGTCAACTTGATATTAAAAGAACTACAGATTTTTTAGTGAAAATGGAATCATTTACTAAAGAAAATCTTGGAAAAGCTTACTCTTTAACTGTTAGAAAATTAATAACTGATAAATCTGTTATGGTTCCATCAACTGACAAAAATACATACTTTTGTTCCTAATTAGTAGCTTAAGCCTATAAAAAAGCAGGAATCTTATAAACAGAATTATCAGCTACTTAATTTTGGCCAGGATCCTTTTCTAATGAAAAATAAGATTTAGAATTAACTGGTGCCAAATTATCTGATGAATATTTAATTGGATTTAATATGTGATTTTTCATAAAAATGGATTTTAAATCTCACTTGCCTTACTTTTTATAAATTTATCCACGTTTTCTATATTTTAAAAGTTTATTTATTATTTTCTAATAATTTAATCTAATTAAATTGCTAATTTATCTAAAAATGCAACATTCTAAGATTTCTTATTTTTCTTCTAATTCATTTTTATATTAATTTTTTATTTTATTTCTAAAATAATATTATTTATCAATAGAGATATAGTATTTTAATATCCTAATGAATTATCAAGTTTTGCTTAAAGCTCTTGTAATTATTTTATATACAAGTCAAGAGCTTTTTTACCTTAATCAACTTCTTATTATTTTAGAATTAATTTATTATTAATCATTCTCATTTATTTTTGAGACTCATCATCAACTAAATTGTATTCACTAACAGATTTACTGGAACTCAATTATGCTATATCTAATTAACCTTTTGCTTATTTTATTTATTTAGCCATTGATAAAATTTCAACAGATTTTTGATAATATTATAAAGTAGGTGTTATATTTAAAAATATGTTAAATTACATATTTGTATTAATTTAACAATTCAATATCTTTTATATTACATTCTTGAAATCTCCTTAAGGTAATGACGGACAAGTTACAATCATAAAATTACTTGTTGTTTATAATTAGTTTTCAACATAAGTTTAATATGTAATCGATAACTTTCGAATTTTTTCACCAAGTGCTTTTTATTTAGTCAACAAATGTACTTTGATAGCTTATACTGTATATTCTAAATCAGATATTGAAGAAGTTTATATTTTAAATTATTCAATCTCTATCCATTACTTTCCTATTCTTTCTTAATAACAAAATGTTATTTTTTAATTTAATTGTTGCTTCTAAATTAAATTATAAAGTATTTCTATCAACATTATCATTATTAATTTCTTATGAGTTTTAGATTACCCTAAAATTAAATATATTTTAGTTAAATCATTTTATAATTTAAATTTTGATTATTCTAACAATTAATATATTTTTTGAGTATCAAAGAATATTTCATCAAATTAATAAGTATCAAACATAGCTTTTTCAATTTTACCTTTTATTGATTAAAATAACTTTATTTATTTTCTATTTAATTCAATAAACTAACATTGATAAGATTTTTATGACTTTATATATAAATAAGTTTATATTTAATATTTTTCCTATTAAATTATTTATGTTTATGAAAACTCTCTATTTGGTTCACTCTATAATGTTGATAAAGCCTATGGTCCTAAATTATAAATTGTATCTAATTAATTTTTCAATTTAATTGATTATTGTTTTTATTTAATTAATTATTCTTTATATTATTCTATTTCTTATTATAATTATTCTATTTCATTTGATTATTATTCTATTTATTCATTTAATTAATGGACATTAACAGATTGAATTTCTTCTTAAAGTTCTTTAATTTATTTTTATAATCTTTAAACCAATTCTTAATCCTATTATTTTTTTCTTTCCTCTTTAGCATCTGATTATCTTCTTGGAGTTCCTGGCTTTTAAATATTTTATAATTTCTCTTCTAATTTTTTATTCTTGTCTTTCAAATTAAAAATTTCTTTCTCTAAAGATTTTCTTAAATTATCCATATCATCCACTTTCTTTCTAAATAATGTTAAAAATATAAGAATACTTCAATTAATCTGTTTAATTTAAATCTTAATACTAATTAATTTAATCTTCTAAATTTTCTGATGTTTATAATAATTTTTATATTATACTTTAATCATGATCTTCTTCTCCATTAATTTCTTAACCATTAAGTTCATCACCTTGATCATTAATATCAGTTAATTAAATTAATTAATTTTGAAGATTCAATTCTTATTTTTCTTTCATCTCTTCTTATAATTCCTCTGTTTAGCACATTTGATCATTAAATTATTGAACATTCATTTTTTAAGGAGATAAAATAAGTTCATCAGTTTAAATTAGTTGAGATTAAAATTCTTTTTATAATTCTTATTATTCTTCCTTTTTTTCGCTAATTTCCTCTGTTTAAGTAGAATTTTCAGCATAATCAACAAGTTGAACTTTTTTAACATCAAAATGAAAATTATTTTAATTATTTTCATCATTAGTCATTAATTTTTCTAATGAAAGATTTGAATTCTCATTTTTAACATCTTCATTTTTTTAAATATTTCCTAATTACAATTCTTAATTTATTTATTAATAATCTGTACTTAAATTTTATAAAGATTAAATTTAACCAATATTTTCATTCAATTCTTAAATTTCTAATTAAAATTTCTCAACCATATTATTTTATTCATCCTATATTGATTAAAGTTTATTCCAATAATCCATAACATATTAAATTTAAGATTCGAAGGTTTCTCCATTATTAATATAAGTTTCAAGTAATTATTTAATTTCATTTAATTCTTTTTAAAGATTACTTTTATCTTATTTTAATAAATGTATTTCTCTTTATGTGTTTTCTTTTAATTTGATATATTCAGCTGTAGTTTCTGAATTTTCTAATTATAACTTTGATATTTTTTTAGGAGAATCACATTCAATTTATTTAAGTGCATCCATTTAAATTTCATAATTTTTAATAGTTTCAGTAAAATTATAATTTTAAGTTTTTAAATTTTCATTATCTAATTTTAATTAATCTAGTTTTTATAATACACTATTAATATCTTAATTTTAACTTTATATGGCATGTAATGAATTTTCTAATTCTTCAATTCTTTATTAATATTTTTCACTATTTTCTTATTAAGTTTATAATTAATTAGATAAAAGATGATTATTTTATTCAAACATTTGTGCTTATTCTTTAAAAGCCTCTAATTCTTAGCAAAATTATGCTGCTTAATATAATTATTGATCTTTATCTTTAATAGTAATACGAATTTATTCTTTAAATTCTTCATATTCATCTCTCAATTAAAGATAAAGAGTTTAATACTCATTATTACTTTATAAATTATTGATTTATTCTTATGTTTTATTTATTAATTATTTTAATTCATTGTTTTCTTCTAAAACCTCATTATGATGTTCTAAAGTAGTTTCTAATTAAGTAATCTAATCTTATAACTATTCCTTAACAGATAAATACTCTTAACATTTATCAGTTAATTATTAACAATCTTATTCAGATTGTTATAGTTTCTAATTGATAGAATTGTATTCTTCAATTAATTCTTCAAATTATAGTTTAAGATCTTCAAGTTATTATGCAACACTTTCATCTTATTCTTATTACTATAATTCTTTGTTTTATTTTTCTAATAATTCAATCTATTATTTAAGTTATTATTTTTCTTTTTAATTTGCCTCTATCTTAATAACAAATTAAGAATTCTCTTCTTAATATTAAATCAAGACTTCTTCTAATTATGCAATCTTTTCTTCTTAATTTTAATATTCTACTTAAGAACCTTTACCAATTTCATCAATACTTCCTTACATTCCTTCCTTTAATTAAAATTATTCAATTTGTTTATCTTGAATTTACAATTGATTAGTTTATTTTTCTATTTAATTTTTTAACTTTTCAATCTATTTCTAGAGTTCATCTAAATCACTAATTTAACAGTTTATTATACTTTTATTTAGATGGAACAATCTCTTGAGATTATTTTACTTCTACATTACTTTATATCTTTTGTAATTCATCTATTGTCTTTTATAATGCCTATATTTATATTTATTATTCATTTAAAGATTTCTAATGATCATCTTTTAGGATTTCAATATCCATCTCATTCTCATCAATTTTAGCACTAATTTGAATTTTAATGATTACTTAAGTTATTGTGTAAGTGTTTTAATTTTTTAAGTTGATTCTTACAATTATTTATTTAGATCATGAATTTCTACCTCCAATTAAATAATCTTAGCTCCACTTACATCATCTGAATTATTCTTTTATTATATGTCAATATTACTATAACATCTGCTTTTTTTATTGCATCTTATAATTATTTTTTCAGACTCTTTATTTCACTCTCCTTACTATTTATATCTGACTTCTATTTATCTATTGTCTCTTCATGTTCCTTTATTTAATCTTCAAGCATCTACTCATACTCTTTTAGACTATCAAATTATCTTATATTTATTACTCTGTGATTTCTTGTTAAAGTTTCTAAACTTGTAAGTCCATTTATTAAATAAATAAAACAATGAGAAATGATGAATAGTTTCTAAGTTTCATGGTTGAGAATGATGAATCTCAATTTCTGGAATCTAGACTCTTTAAAGACAACGATGAAGACTATTTCAAGTCTCTTAGCAAATAATTTTATGGATCTAAATCTTAAGATGGTATTTTATTCAGTTTCTATACATTCATAGTTAAGAAACAATTGAAAACTATTAAATCTGCAGGAGATTTGAAAATTAAACTCTCCAATACTGCAAATTTGAATAACGTCTTGCAACCTTTCTCTATAAGCTATTAACTGCAGTAGGTACTCATCAATTTTATTATTATTTTTAGTAAATTCATAAACTGTTGAGCAAACCTAAACCTTAAGGATAGAGTTTGCAAAGTTCGTTTAAAACAAATTAGAAAATGAACCAAATTAAGTTAACATATTAACAGCTCTAAAATAGAAAACTATTTATATCAAAAAATGAAGATTCTAACATTTTAACATAAAATTCCTATCGAAGTACTCTTAACACAAGCACAAAGAGCTAGCCTAAAAAGGAGAATGTTTTAGATTTGTATTAAATGAAATTAAAAACAGAGAGAAGTGTCGAAAAACCCAAATTAATGAAGATCCTCAAGAGGAATAAGATGCATTGAAGATTTTATATATTTTTTGCTCTTTTTTTGTTTTTTCAAATAAAATATAATGATCAAAATTTGTGGTTATTGTATGTCTAATTTGCAGAAATTGAAAAAGTATGCTCCTCCTAAAAAATTAGATGAAAAAACCTTAAGACCTTATTAGCATCCAACAAATCCATTAAGTAAAAAAATTGATGTTCTAACTCCAACAAAACCAGAACGATTTTTATTAGAGGATTATGAAACACCAGCTACACTTTATACAACAGATGAAAAAGTAATAAAAACAACTGAATTGGGTACAAAGGTGTCAAATAAAATATTATTAAAACCATTAGCAGAAAAACCATCTGTAGCTATATAAGAATAGAAATTTTTAGCTGTTTCTATTATAGGACCTCCTAATTCAGGGAAATCAACATTTTTAAATTAAATGGTAGGTGAACCAATAAGTGCAGTATCAAATAAAAGTAATACAACAGTTACTGAAATTCGAGGAGTTCAGACTGATATTAAAAATGGTGTTTAGATTGAGTTTGTTGATACTCCAGGAGTTACTAAACGTTATAAATTTTCTAAGCATTTTGTAACAAAGGCTTGGGATGCAATTTAAGACACTAATTTAGTAATCATTTTAATTGATGCTATGAAAACTTTAGATATAAGTATGAATAATGTAATGTAGAGATTAAATAAAATATAAGTAGATTAAGAGTAATTGAGAAGTTATTTTAGAAATGAAGACAATTTCAAATTATCAGAAGAAAAACCTATTCCAAAAATACTTGTTTTCAATAAAATGGATTTATGTTTTAATAAAAAGAAATTAAAATGGTTATAAGCTGAAATGGAAGATTTAGGAAAATATGACTAAACATTTTATATATCTTCTTTAACAGGTTATGGAATTGAGGAATTAAAATAATATTTATATTCCCAAAGTTTTTAATGCAAATGGAAACATAATGAAAATTAAAAACATTTATTTACACCTATGGATTAATTGGAATAAATTATTAGATAGGCAATTTTTAAAAGATTTTATAAAGAAATACCATTCATAATTGGTATTTATGTAAAAGAATTTAGAGTGACAAGTAAAGAATCTGCAAAAATAGAAATATAAATAAATGTTTAAACATCATCATAAGCAAGAATTGTTATAGGAGAAGAAGGTAGAGCATTAAAATAAGTTTAAAATGAAATAGAAATAAGTATGGCAGAAGTATATAAGCGATTATTTTAAGTGAAATTATAAGTAACAATTAAAGAGGGCGAAAAATAAATAGAATTTGATACAGAAAAGGAGGATCGAATTGAACATGCTTAATTTGATGAATCTTTTTTTAAAAAGGAAGAAAGAAATAGAAAACAACTTTTAAATGCTAAATTTTCAAAATTTTTATAAGAATGAAATTATTTATTATATTGTGAATAAATCATTATTTAAAATATCTAATAAGAGAACATTAATTAGGCTAATTTTTATTAAACATTTTATTTTCACCAAATTATAATTTTTATTACTTTTATTCATCATTTTCAATTGATGGTTATTTAAATTGGTTAGTTTAATAATTATTTGCTAGTTTTTATAATTATTCATTAACTTTTTAAGATGAATATGATCTCAATTCATTTTATTAAACATTTAAAACATTATCAGGCATACTTTAATTATTTTTTTTATGTTTTGTACCAACTTTTATAACCATCTAAGAATTATTCTTTATCAAATTTTCTTTATTCTCTAAATCATTTTATATTTATTTTTTTTTTTTTAACTAAGATTAACTAGATGATGAATGAGCTTATGAAATTTACTTAGATTTAGTTGTATTCAAAAGAATATTAGTAAATTTATCATCAACATTCGAGATATTAATTTATGTAATAGATGAGGATCGTTAAGGTTATTTAAAAGAAAAAGTAGAATAATAAAAATTATGAAAGAATGGTATAAAAACAGTTTCTGATTCTGAGTTAATTGATTTTTACAATTCTTTTTGAAATTAATTCTCTCCATTAACAATTTCTTTTTGATCAAAATTAATTTTAAATAAATCTGGTTTAAATGGAGGATCATAAGATCTATTAATTAATTTATATAAATTAAATTCTTATAACCATGGGTGTTTTAGTATTTCATAGATTCCATAAGATTTTCCTAACCTATTTTATATATCTTTTTATAATAATTTAGATATCAAATCTTTTGCATCTGTACTCAAATTTTATTTAGATAAAGGTAAATCATGTTATAAAATATTTTAATATATTTATTCTGGATTACTAGAATAGTATGGAGGTAATCCAGTTAACAATTCATATAAGAGTGCACCTAAACAATAATGATCAATCTAATAATTATGTCCTAATTTTAAAAGCATTTCTGGAGCCATATATTCTGGAGATCCACAAAATGAATATGCCATTTTATCATCTTATGCATTAGGCTTTGCTAATCCAAAATCAGCTAATTTTATATGACCTTCTAAATCTATTAATATATTTTCAGGCTTGATATCTCTATAAATAATCTTGTTTTCATGTAAATGATGAATTGCTATACAAACCTAACTAAAATAAAACTTTGCTTATTATTCATCCATCTTTTTTACTCTCTTTAATTACTAAAATAATTCACCACCAGGACAATATTCTATTGCAAAACATACCCAATTTTTAGTTTCAAAAGCACATAATAATTTACATAGATTAGGATGTGTATTATTATTATTTGCTAAGTGTACCATAATATCTCTTTCATTTTATACAATCTAAAATTTATCATTTTATTCAATAAATTATTTTGAAATCATCTTCAAAGCCATAAATTAACCGTTAAACTTATATCTAACTAAATAAACTCTACTGAATCCACCTATACCAATACATTATAAAAAATAAAATGAATCTAAGCTAATTTAATTCTAATATATCCCATACAAAGGTTTTAAAGATAGAGTTTAATTGTTCAATAATCCTAACTCTTTATTTGTTGTTAAATAATAATCTAAATGAATATTGTTGTCTAAACTTTGAAATCCTACAATTTAATTCTAATTTAATAGGTTTTTCAAGTAACTAACTAATTGATTCCCACTCTAATTTCCTGTGGGAAATTATATCTGTTAAGAAAATTCATTATTTAGATACAATTTCACTGTAACTTAACTTTGCTTTGTTTATTCCTTTTTCATGAAATTGTTCATAAGATGTTACATCTTTTATTTTTAATCCATTTTTTTTTCTGTTAATTTATAAATTAAACATAAATATAGATAATTATTTCAAGAATCAACATCCTTTGCATGCAAGAACTCTTTTATAAATTATTTTATTGATCTAATTCTTTGTATTACTCTTAATGGAATCATCATTATCATTGATCTTGTTCTCCATATATCTCTTGTCATCTTTAATACAAGTGGTAACCATAAAATGAAGTAAATTATAAAAAGCAATACTTCAAAAACAATAAATAATGCCAATCTTTAAGTTTTTGAACTATCTATATCGTTGTTGATACCCTATTATAATTATTTCATCAAATATCTAAATGTACCTAAAATTTAATAATGAAATAGAATTACCTCTATTGTAGGATTCTTATATAACTCTTGCTTCTTTTGATTAATTAAAATTATTAAGATTCAGAATGTTATTTCTAATGATATCAGAATCTTAAGTAATATTTTTAAATGTTGTAAATCCTCTTGCTATAGCTGTAAAATTAGCTTTAGAATTATTCCAAAATTAATCATATATTGTCATAATATATCTTAAATTTTCAAAATAACGTGCTACTCCAACTGCCATTCCTTAATACATTGCACCATCAGCAAATGTTTAACATTCAGTTTCTGTCATTTCATTCATTTCTTAGGATAATATAGTACAAGGTTGAAGCATAAACATTTATTTAAAAGCATCTGAATATAATTAATTTGTTATATCAACATTTAATGAATGTTCTTAATGAATTGATGAATCTAATGCATATAAATTATCAATATTTGATTTTACAATTTTATAAGAGTCTTCATTCAAAATTGTCATATTTCTATTAATATAGAGTGATCTTTCAGCATTATCTGCAAAACGATAAAATCCTTCAGCTCTACAAGTAGCATTTATTTCAGGTACAAGCTATGCTAAATTGCTTAAAAGTGTATCTGACATAAAATAATTAAAAATAAAATAAGCTTATAAGATTAAGATGATTAAAAAGAAAGCAAAGATATAATTACGTTAGTCTTTATTAGTATTTTTGAACTTCTTCTTTTTTCTCTTACTCTTCAATGTTCTATTAAGTTCCTCTTATTCTTCTTTTTCAAGTTCTTCTAATTCTGATAATACTTCTTCCTCTTCTCCAATTTATAAATTAGAAATAAAGTTCTCACTTTTGTTATATAAATATTTAACAGTTTTATCTGGGATATCTAAAAACATTGACAATATTTCTTCTTGTGTTTTATTAACAGACAATGTTATAAAAGTTAATAGAATTAATCCTAAACCTAGAGCTCCTGCAGATATACCTAAAATTAACAAAAATGTTTCTTTTTTTTCTGTAGTTTTATTAGTTAAACCTATGGCATATAAATTACTTGAGTTTCTTAATTAAAATACAAGATCATTAAGAAGATTGTAAATAATAAATCCAACATCATCATCCTCAAAAACAATTTTATTTAAAACTTTATCTCTAACATTTAATGCTTTACTCACAATTTATTAAGTAGCTTCCATAATATCGTATTTTTAATATTCATTACCAAATTTCATTTTAACAACATCTTCACTTTGCAATTCGTTTAATTCATCACTAATAAATATGTCAGACAACATTAGATTTTTATTAAGAAGAGATACCATTTAAATTGAATCATTTAGTTTTTATTTTTCAGATTATTCAAATGCTTTTAAATCTGTAGTAGTATTTAATTACCAAACATTTAAATTTAGCATCCATAAATTTTAAACTGATGATAGAATAGTGTGTAATTCTGCTGTTCTTAAATTTGTGTCTTCAACTAATAAGACGGTATTAAAGATTTCATCATATTATGCTTAACAAACAAAGAAATCAGCAAAACTTAATGCTACTAATACAAGAATTAAGATGTTAGCAGTCCAACTTAATTTAGTAATAACAGGAGGTGTAATTTAACTATTAACTACAATAGATAAATTCTTTCTCGATCTAAAAACATTATTAAAATCCTATTGTTATCCTTCTTAATCATTATCTACATCTTATTATCTTTGAAAAACACTCTTTCCTTATTCATCTTCTTCTGACATCATTTCTTCTCTATCATCAATATCTTATACCCTATTTTCAAATAATCTTAGAGTCTTAATTCCTTCTGCATAATTAATTTTAATTTATTATTGCTATATATTTTATTCATCTGATTTTTCTGTCTTTACTTAAGATTTAAATATTTCAACTCCTCCTTAAACTGAAGAAACCATAGAAGATTAATCATTTTAATCCCATAAAATAGTTTAATCTACTCTTTATGAATTAGTATCAGCAACATATTCTCCTAAATAAAGAGCTTTAGATGGATTATATTTAAATTACATGCTATTACTAATCACTTTCTATTATAAATTATTGATTTCTAAATTCATACTAGCATCACTTCCTTATTATTCTAATTTTACTACATAACCAACAACTTAATCTTGATTTTCATTCATTACTTCATAAGTATAACATTGAAATTAAATATTATCATCTTTTCTATCTTATTCATCTAATTCTTAAGATCCCTATTAACTATTACTTACACCTGATTGAGTAGCAGGATTAAATACTATTGGGCCTCCTACTTTAGATAAAAATAACTGTTTCTATTATAAATAATTTGGAAGTATCTCTGTTATTGGAGTCTTTTTATGTGATATTAATTTTGAATCTATATTCAATAAAGGTATACAAGAGGATGATATTGAATCTATCACTTCTTCACTATCTAATATTAAATAACATGATGGTTTAAATGATTTTGGTATTCTGAATTATGCTGCTAATTAAACATTATCATCTATTGACTATATTACTTTTAAATATATATAACAAGGCATTATGTAATTTGATTTCATCTTTATATAAACTAATCTCTCTTTATTTATATTTCTGTTATCATTCGATTATAAAAAATTCTCAACATGACTATCATGAAATTTAGAATATAAATTTGGCATAAATATATTGATCTTACGATTTATCATCTCAGATTTATTATAACCAAATAAATTACAACATGCTAAATTCAAATTCGTTATTTATGCAAACTTTTCTTAAGCTGTTGAAACCAATATTGTTGGCTATGATTCATAACTAATATCCTCACTACTTATTAAAGATATTGCTGTTTTATTCTTCATCTTATTATTCTAAGTCTATAAATGTCTAGATCTATCCAATAATTCTTCTCCATAATCTTTATCTTATAATACTTCAATAATAAATTTTCCATATAATCTCATAGCTTTAGGTAAATTTTAAGTCATTTTTTACATTTTATTCCATAATTCTTCAACTTAAGTAATAGCTAAATTAATTTTAGCACCAATATCATTCATTTTACCTAAATCAGGTGAATCTTCTTATAATTAAGACCAAAAGTCCATATGCATTAATGTTGCTCTTTCTATTTTATTTTAAAATGATCTCATATGATTTTAAAATGCTAATTCTGTTGCTACATCTAAATTTCCCATATTTTCATTCTATACTGCATTCATTTCATCTTCTATTACCTTTTTATATCTAAATATTATAAACTCATTATCTAAACTTGGACATAATTATTCTCCTTATATTAATTCATTTAATGCTTATTATCTTTATTTC